CATGACTTAGCTATTTAATCATTTCCTTGTATGTGAATGCCTCCATCCATCAAATATTCATGATGGTCATGATTATTCAATATATTTGATATCATCATTGACATAACAAAACAATTGCATCACCCAGGTAGTAATGATACCAAGGCCATGCATAAACAAAACCCTTAACAATGCCTGTCTACCCAGATCTCTGGGGTTCACAATAATAAATTATTTTTCCTGATTACAATTATGGTTCCTTACGAATAATAAATCTGATTTTGATAACAGGTGTCAGATTTAATAAAAACTTTCCTATCACAAACATTATGGTTAGGTGCTCTTAACACGCCTCATAATTGTGGATTTTTTTCCACAAGTGAGGGACCCCACATGCTGGAAGGCTTTTTTAAGGTCAATGGACAAAAAAATTTCCCTAATCTTCACCTCAGACTAGGCTTAGCTGCTACCATACAGCATTGATTGTTAACAAGAGTTGACATCTGTGCAATGATTGTTTTTCCACTAAAGTTGATGCCTGCAACTGGTATGAAATTCTGCAACTGAAAAAGTTGCAACCTGGGTTTGCTGTTTTGCTGAGAGAGCTGCCTACTTAGAGCAAGGAAAGATTTAGGCAAAAGCCCATGCCCCCCAAATTACATGTTTGTGTTAGTATCAAAGAAGCAAAGAATTTAAGAAAAGAAAATAATTAAAACAAAACCTATTTTATGACTTTCCTCTTAATATTAGTGCACAAATTCAATTTTCAGAGTCCCAATCTCACTCTGAACCTAAATCACAACTCTTTAACCAGGCTGCTGCAACATCCAGAGTTGCACAACTTTTTGGTTGCATAGCCAGCCATCTTTACCCCTGAGGTAGGATCGTTGCAGTCAACTTTTCAGCCAGCATATCAGCAGCCCTCTCTGGTCAGGTGCTGTGAAGGAAATTAGGTAGGATTCACAAAAGAGTCCTTGACGTTGATGCAATCTTTTGATAAACTCCAGGGCCATGCTTCCCTCCCCTGGAATTCAGTTGCATCATTGTATCATCGGGGGGTGCAAGTCAGATTAGCCTTGTGAACATGAGGAATGTATGAGAATGACTGTAAAGTGACAAGGTAGCATGTGTGCCTTGACATCTATAAATTACAATGATCAAATGGTTTCTTCTGTAGCAATCAATGTGTTGCTTTAACATCTTCTTGTAATTGTTACTTAATATTATTATTAATGTTGATTATATGAAAAGTAAAACAATACCAATCGTTTATCATAAAGAATCTTGTAATAAATACCTAAAGAGACAGACAAATTCTGCTTCCACAGTTTGATTTCAACAAGACATTTTATATTAAGTAAAGAATCAATACATATTAATACATTTACAAAACAATTAAACAATAAACAATACAATGCAACAAAAAAAATAGTGTACCTCTTGCCATCAATAAATAGCACCTTGTCTCCTTTAGAGCAAGCCGTACTGAACAACAACATTCACGCTTCCTCTCATCTTGTAAAAGATAAATTGTTTTTCCAAAAAAATAAAAATAAAAAAAAAATTCAATCGCGTCAACAAACATAATATTAGTGTGTGACACTTGACCCCCTGTAGATCCGCAATGTCCCGCGACTGTTATTATTTATTATTAATATTAATAATAATAAGTAATGGGGCTTCTTTGTCCAACCATCACGCGCATAAATAAAAGTATCACAAAAATTTTTTTTTTCCAGAAAAAAATGTCTTCCTCAAAAGCACGAGAGAAAAGGAAAAGAGAAATTGGAGATCGCGGGTAAGTGTTATCATTAAATGGTGGTTGTTGCCATCATTCGTCATCATTCTAGTTATTTAAAAAGAATGATGCCACTGCTTGTCATTCTAGCTGGTTGATTAATTTACATTTTTGGACTTTAACAAATTTACGCTCAATTCTTAGAACAAAAGAAAATGAACCATTGATAAACACATCTAAGAATATTTTAAGAAAGGTAATCTTCTAGCAGACATCATCTATTAATATTGAAAGAGGCTAATAATACGTTATTTGATCAGTAAAATTATGATCTTTTGATTAATTTTAATTTCTATGCTTTAATAGAATCCAAAAAGAGCAGTTTTATCTGAGTCCCAAAAAGAGGTAAGCATAAATTTTTACTTGAAAATAATAAAATAAATTGGAGATGACCTTATTATTTTTCCTTAAGAATACTCATCTTGACGATCTTGACGATGAATTACCAACTTGGTTAAAAAAAGCGATTTATTATTGAGAAAAATCTAAAAAGATAAATGAAACAAAGTAAGACTTTTTTTAAAATAAATCAGATAATTTTATCCAACTTTCTTTAAAAAATAAAAAAATAAAAATTTAGTATGATATGGTGGTGAATTATAAATGGATCAGATTGGGAGGAATCATCGGAATTCCTGACAGAATCAGAATTTAAAGATTTACAACAAATATTCTCAAGCTCCCTTGAACTTAAAAAATTGAAAACGTGGAAAAACATTGACAATGATGCAGATATATTGCTACACAATCTTTCAAAGGTGAACAGCAATGGTTTTTATTAAAGCTGCTAGTAAAAAAAAATTTATATTATGTATATTTTATTTATTATATGCTTTGATCTTAGGTGAATTTTCAAAAATTGCAACAAATGGGAGAATCTATGCTTTCAGAAGGAACTCAGGGAACATTAGAATTACTAAGAACATTGTTAAAAGATGAAGATAATAATAGTAAAATTGATCATTTAAACACTGATGTTTGTTATATTCTTAACTTATTAAGATTCAGGTAAGTTGATATACACTTTAGATCAATAAACAATATATGCGATTAACTTATAACCTATTTTGAAATTATTTCTCTTATCAGCTGTGAAATTATCAAAAATGATATAACGAAAAGAAAGAATACAGAACGAGATATAGACGTGTTCATAAAAAGCCACATTTTTTCTTGTTTTGATGGAGTTGTTGATAGGCATTTGTAAGTTTTTATTATTCTAAATTGTTTATTTTTCGTTACCTAATGTTCAAGGGTTTTCTTTCCATCAAATTCTTAGTGGAGAACCAGTATCACGAGCTTCACGTGAATGCTGCCAAAAGGTTACAGAAAATGCAGAAGGATATCACCTTGATTGGCTTTTTTCTGTGTGTTAAATTTTTAACTCTTTTTCAATGTTAACATTAGAATCTTTTGAGGAATATGCTAACAGAATTTTTAGAAGCATGAATTAGGTGCCAAAGATTCGTGGGGTTTGGAATTTTCCCTCTGTGAGTGAGCAGGTTCAATAGTGGATGGGTCTGATTCATTTCGTCAAAAGTTCAATTTGTCGAAAGTTCATTTCTACAACAATTCATGTTAATTTGCAACATCACACTCTACTAAAAAACAATAATTATTATCAATACTAAAATATTCAATGTCAATATTGTTGCCATCACTATCATCACCTCATTTATCGTTAGTACGATACATAAACCGACGAAATGAACTGTCGACGAAATGAACTTTCGACAAAACAAACTTTCGACGAGACGAAACAAACTTTCGACAAAATGAACTTTCGATGAAATGAACTTTCGATGAAATGATTGTCGATGAAGTGATTGTCGACGAGGTGATTGTCGACGAAGTGATTGTCGACAAAATAATTTTCGACGAAATGAACTTTCTACGAAATGGGTGTCGACGAAATGATTGTCAACGAAATAATTTTCGACGAAGTAAACGGGACCGATAATAAAACATTACATTTATTGTTGTTGTTTGGCGCTAGTATTTATAACTTTGAATCAACAATAAAGTAGATTTACAATCAACATACACACGAGAAATCAAATTAAATACAGCTACTATCAACCAAATTTGATTAGCTTTAATTAATCGTTACAGATTTATTAAAAAGTCAAAATATTCGATTCAATGTCAATTCTTTTATAGTTCTAAAGTAGATTGATTTAAATACTTGTTATATGTATTGGGGGAAACTACCTTTTTTTAAAATAGTTTTGACCACCATCACTAAATAATATCCTTTATCAATTAAAAAATTTTAAATTTAAAAATATACATAATCTTGGTTTAGCAGATAGTTTGGGTAATTACCAAAAATTCATATTATTATATTAATACAGCCAAACCTTGTCACAGTGGACTATAATCAAATTCTTGTCATAAAAAATTTTTTAAAATTTTTACTTTCATGTATAAAAAACATAAAAATCCGTTGTGGCAAGATTAGCAATTTAAATTACAATCTTGCCACAACGGATTTTAAATAAAAATTTCTCATTATTATGTGTCCTGTTCATCCGCCATGACAATGTTTGACTGTATTAAGAAATCCGTTATATTTAGAAGATTATTATTATTATTATTATTATTCTAGTTTTAGTTTTTATTATTAAACCTCGACCCA